TCGTTTGAGATTGGGTGACGAGGTATTCCTAGGCGCACAAGGAGTTGCACACGTCTCATACCATGCAACTTTGTTCTGGCCATCCATCTTTGTCGGGGCTCGAGTCCTACTTGGACTAGGACTTGCTAAATTGTGTGCTGATGTGCAGCTGCTTGGATAAGTTCCCCCTTGCTTCAATGGTTGAGATTAGACATGACTCAGATGGGCTACAATCTGGTTTAAAGGTTGAGATTGGGCTTGATTTTTGCTTGATTTGATTGGGATCGAATTGGAGTCCAGTTTGACTGGATTTGAGTCCAATTTGAACTCCGCAAGATCGTCCCAGATCAGTAGTAGGTGGCTGAAATGGTTTAGCCGAATCAACTGCATCAAGCCCAAGTCGAACCCAAGCTTGGTTGAATTCAAGCATGTGCCTGGGTTGCACCCACTTTAAATCAACCACCTACACCAACTTGAGGCCCTCTATCATGCCCTGGAACCAGGGATTAGATTGATCCCACTGAATGTCTATGGATTGGGCTAACTTGAGTCTAACCTCAGGTAGCACAACCCAAGGGAATTCAAGGTGTACATATATAATATGTTACAATAACCTGTCATGCCACACAACGATAGCTAAACGTTCATAATTATAGTTGATAGCAACCTAAACTAACATAATCTATGAGTTTCAACACAAAAAAAAGCAATTAAAATGAAAAGCAAGTAACAAGTTTGCTAACATATGTTCCCTAACAATTTCCTACTTCTATATTTGCATTTTAATAGAAGTCCTGGACCCATTCATTTGATTCGGTCACTGCTACTTCATGATTATCAACAGTTTCATTCATGCTTGTGTGGAGTTCATGACTTGCCCTTATATCTAAAGCTGGTCCTATCATAGGCATAGAATAAAATAAACAAGAGTGGGATGACTATTTACAACAAATACTTAATAAGCACATGCCTCCCTTATAGGACGGATAAGTAAAAATTTAAACATAGCTATTCATATCACATTAAAAATAAAAACAATAAAAATAATAATAATATCATATGCATTTCATAGAGTTAAATCAATAAGTGTAAGAATAAAGAAAAAAACTCAAACTCATCACATTCATTGTGTACTTATATTCATGTATTGCTGCATTACCTTTTTCTTTCTTTATTTTGCTTATATCATATATCATATACTTTTCATATTCCTTTCAGAAAATACAATAATTAGACTGTCAGGTACGTACTAAACCGAGAGAATCAAATCTTACTCTGTGGACAACATCCTTGGTGGACTTAAACTCCATCCTAGGTTTTGAGTCACGGGTTTACCACCCATGGGCACATTTCTTACAAGAAGATAACATCTGATAACATATTTTCTTTATAATTCCCCTTACAAGACTACTACTAGGTTTCACTCATACTACCTCATTGTCTTTGTCTCGGTGGACTTAAATGCCATCCCTTCATCGGTCCAAAGGTTTACCACTCTTGGAATCCACAATGAGGTATAAACCCTTTTAGTAGAACTAATGAGAACGAACTTAAAAATATATAAATACATATATAACAGTACCACTTGTCTTCTTTGCTACTTGCTATAAAGACATGCATTTTCACATATATTAATTTATGACTAAAATAAAAATTTCATGATTGAAACAATCATATATGGACAACGGTTTAATGACTAACACATGATGGAAGCATGTCATGGTACAAATATTAAAATCATGAATCATATTTAAAGCAAAGCCTACTTTGTCATATCAAAGAAATAGAAATACATGCTTATTCTGATTTTAAAAACACCTATTCAGGTTGACGAGTCACTTATTTCAAACATTTGATTATTTAATTATACAATGACCATAAAAAGAAATTTTACCTTTTCTCTTTATATTTGGTTTTACCCTTTTTTAATATTTATTATTTTTTCTTAATTGATTAATTAATCATATTTATTACATATATATATGCATCTTTGTTTGCTTAATTCTATATATACATGTATATGTCTTTAATCATTTCATGAACTCCACAAAAGACACTGACTCAGTGATCATGAAAAATTCAGAAGCAATTCTACATGCAAACCTTATTGTGAGCCCAACTATGATTAAATTAAGTTCAGGTTCTTATGGAGATTGGAGCAGCATAAGGAACTTCTAACTAAAATAATCGGATGCATGAGGAGATTGTTGTTATCCTAAGGGCTGTGCAAATTAAGCATATGTTACAACTTGTCAAACATCGACAAGAAAAATAATGTGAGAAAAGGGATGGAGAAAGACTAGACAGTGGTTAAAAGCAAAGAATATTGTTGAACACAGAATGAGAGTTCCCTAAATTGTACAATTGGAGAAACATGCTAGCTTTTCGGAAGGAATCTTGTTCAGTTGTTATGCTTGGTAATAAAAAATATTATTCATGATGATGTCTCTTGCAGACCACTTGCATTAAATTCAAGACCATGCTTAGGGAAGCAACTCTTAGGTTGAGCTAAACTATATCATATAAAAGAATCTGTATCCATTTCTTTACTCAATAGAATTGGACAAGTCAAAGAAGGAAGCAGTACAGAGAACACAAATCAATAGAAAAAATGTACCAAGCTGTTAATAGATAATAAACTATAGAGGGACTTAAGCATCAACACAGATTATAGTCCTAGAGGATCCAACAAGTGCTTACATGCATCTTGCTGTTACATGCTACAGAAGTGCTTTTTATAAACTACAAGAGTCAAAGAAGGTAGTGCTTATAATAAACTATATAAGTTAAAGAATGGAATGCTTTTAATAAACTACAAAAATGCTTCTAAGAGAATCTGGCAAGTGTTTTTTTTTACATGCATCTTGTTGTTGGCTGCAAAGGAACATGTCAACTATCTTGAGTTTTCTTTTCTGTGTAACATGGAAAAAGCTACTATGATCTTTGATTACATCAAGAAACCTCTATAAAAAAGAAATGCTGCTGACACCAAATTTTTTTAAGATGGATTGCGGATTTCTATTTGCATCATAGCTAGCACCATAAATGTCATATCTATGTTTTGATAACATCAATAACAAAACAAAAGGATGAAAAATTGATGGATCTTACCCGATCCCTTGGTGATTCTCCTCTTCGTCTCTAGATCTAGGGCTTCTTGATCTTGACGAGGGTGAGTCGCCACCACCAACAATGGCACCTCCACGAGTCTAAGGTGAAAATAGAAAAATAGGGTTGGGCTCAAGTAGAAAACCCTAACTTTTTTCCAATATTGCCCCTATAATATTATTAAACCCTTTTGTCATCCTAGGTAATAAAAATACTATTCTAACCATTAAATTGCTTATTATTACACCCTCGCTCCTTGTCTCGCCTCTCTTGAGCACCTAGGTGAGCGATCCTTAATAATACTCTCAAGCTAAGATTCCGCGGACCACATGGCCTCATCTTTAGAGTAGTGATGAAATTTTGCCAAACTAACCCCTCATGTTAAAGGAGTCTCGGTTCTCATTCATGATATAATAGGTGGGTTGCAAACCATAAAGGATACCCCATAGCGCTGTACGAGTTGACAATGACTCTTCTTGGCTATGCATCGTGATTTCTTGACACACTAGCGACACTTGCCTCCTTATAAGAAGCTGGTCTTCATACACACAAAGGTGGGAGGGAGTGATAGATGGATACATATAGACATATGTAGGTATCTCCCTCACTTCGCTATCAAAATAGAGGACTTCTTAGTTCTTAAGGGAGGAAGGAGAAAAAGAGTTGCCAACCCACTCGAAGGACTCCCATCCCCATAGTAAGGGGGAATCGATAAGACCTTTAGCCTTCTCTCTTTTTATTCCTTCAGCTATGAGCTCACGTAGCTTGTTCTAGGATGACCTCTGACTTGAGCATCAAATGGGGTTTTTAGTCAATCCCTTATCTCCTTTCTTTTCTCTCCTTGCTTTGCAACTGTTGTTTCAGAAGTGCACGTGGTCAAGGTGGGGCACCCTGGCGACCTCTATTGCAATTGGATTGACGGAACTGTGGAGTGTTGAAATGGATCGACTTGACTACGTCCTCCAAATGGATGGACAACCAATATCCGACGAGGTGTAACCATCATTGGTAACACACATGGATGAATATCTACATTTATATACAAAGACCTTGATGGCTGATATAGAAGTTCCTGCAAACTGTCATGTGAGCTGTGGCAAACTACTTTTCTGATGAAATAAGTACCTAAATATATTTAATAATTAAGTTCTATATGAATTGATAGGCACAACAATTCATTAATCTGATTTTGATGTGGACCGATTCAGTTGGTTAATGAACTTCTTCAGGTGTGGCAAGCTGTAAACTCAAACTTTTTTGCCCCCTATCTGCGATGTACTAAAGGTTGAGTAATACAAGTGCATTTTAGAATACTGGACGTCATGACCAAACACAGAGATCTGACTTGATTTAGGTGCATCTTAGAATGTTTCTTTTCAATTTCTGTTCACTGGTGAATCACTAGAAAATTTTCAAATGCACCCTTGCAGCATTCAGGAGTTTCACTTCTATTGTGGATCTTTTTTCTATTAAAGTACTTTGATGCCACAAAGGATCCGAATATAATGTGTTAAGAATTTGAAAAGAATTTAGGGTAACCATGTAAAAAGTTCCATTAATGAAACATTTGGGCATCAAGTTATCATCAAGTTGATTGTTCAGGAGATGGAGATTTAGCCTTTGACATACCTAATGTCTAGTTTGCCTCTTGTAAAAGTTGGTAAGGATGTGTGCTGTCATGCTTGTTTCCTTGTGATGTTTTGACAAGTATTGTTAATGGAAGTGATCCACCTGTTGTGGAATGATTTTGACATGGAGACGTAGAACCCATTTATTGTTAATGGAAGTGATCCACCTATTGTGGAATGATTTTGACATGGAGAAGTAGAACCCATTTATCTGCTGTTCTATCATCTTATCAAGACTGTTCTCTAGCTGATGTAAATCACATAATTTCTTGTTCTTTTGTCCAGCTTCAGTCAATCTGATGTCCCGTTTACGTAATGTGGCACTTGCAACAGGCTTGCTGGCCTTTGCAGCAGCTGGCTTATTATTTCCATTCTTCCTCGTGTAAGTGAAACAATAAGGTTTCACAAGGACTTGTTTCTTTTTTTATTCTGCTGAAGCTAAGATTTTACAACGACCTTTTTCTTACACCAGTGTTTTACTTTTTTTTGAAGGACATCAAGAAGTAAACCCATAATTGATGCTTCAAAGCCTCTGCCACCTCAGGCTACTTTTAGAGGGCCCTATGTCAATACAGGATCTCATGATATTGGGCCAGACACCACCACATATACCAAAAAATGACTCTTTTTTCTGGTTTCTGCAATCTTTCAGGGTTGCCTAGAGAGAAACAGTTTAATGTGTATGATGCTTCTTGTCATCCATCCTACATGAAGATCACATTTGATGCCAAATTTCTTTATGAATTTTAGGGTCTTTTTGTTCTAGAGAATATCACATTTCTGTAGGAATTTTAAACTTCAATACCAGATTGTTGTTTACTGTGTTCACGGACTGGTGCCTCGCCTTTTGCTTTCACGGTAACTTGAGTTGTATGATCAATTGTTCCATTGTTTCTCTTGATGATAATACTTTTCCTATCGCTTGTCTTGCATGTTTGTCTTTGGGCTTCTTTGTTTGTTGGCCATTAGTGGATCGGAAGAGGATTGACGCTTGTGGATAAATATTATCGGCATCTATTGACGAATATCACTATGATGATTGGTGATCTAGGCAAATTCAGTTAAATTAAATTTATGACAGTGATCATCTTGTTTTCAAGGAAGTACTGCAACTTTATGATATCAAAATATAGTTTCTTTAAGAGTTAAACTAGGATGCTAGATAACAAGACTGCACCTATGTTCTACACCATGAAAGTGATCAAAACTAATGAGAAACCAGCAAAATTCATGGTCACGAATCTGTTTTCCATTCCCTAATGTTCTCATTCTTCATCCAAATTTGTTGCCGTATTTGTTCCTCTGGCTGTTAAAGTCGGTGACACTGAATATCAAGTCACACCTAGATATACACTAACCAGTATCCACACAAGATTTGGAGCTCATAGAAATCAGTTGTTGGCATTCTTGCAAGACAAAAACAAACACCAAAAACTGCCATTGAAGAGAACAGTGGTGTGTGATTGGTTTGTTACTGGAGCCAGTTTAGTCACCTTGCAACTTGGATACCAAAAAGATAGGTTGGCCAGACAAAGCTAAACAAGCATTGTTTCTCAAAATTAATGTGAGCCCGGAAGAGGGGTCGTTAATCCTTTGTGTTGCTGTAGATGCATATGTGGCACAGATAAAACGATACTCCTGTCATATAAAATTTACGTGGGCAATTTTCCACCCACAAACCCGCGAGCAAATATTTTCATGGCCCAAATTCGTGCACACTTTTCAAGAAACAAACTCCTCGGCGACACACGGCTATTTCTTGTAGATGCTCCCTTGTACATCACACAGATGTGGGGTTCAAGCATCTGGTATGCTATCCATTTTCTTAATGCCACGTCACGGATTAACTTCGCGGCAGAGTGATTGATTGATGACAGGTGATGATAGATCAACATCTATACAGAATTTCTTATTTTACACGCTTCATGCTTAGGCAATTAGAGATCAAATTGGGTCTCCGATTGAGCGGGCACGAACTTGTTCGTGTAGATGTGCCCATCAAAGATGAGGCAGCCACCTAAGTGGGACTGGGACTCGGAATCGGACTCGGTGACGAGAATTTGACAAGTGTTAATGAACGAAAAGTACCATGGCCACGGCTAGGTCTGCGGGTTGATATTAGGAGCTTCTTGCGAGGTGAGTAGGCTGATGAGGTGGCTGCGCCCTCGGGAAGGAATGTTGGCCGGCGTTGGTCGGGATCCGGGCTGGCTCACTGCTCTCCTTTGTGCGATGGAAGGTATCTCCTGGGTCGAGACGCTCGTCGCTCGGGGGTGTCCGCCTTCCTGCAAAATGGCCTTCGTCGGGTGCTTCCCGACTTTGGCCCCTCCGACGAGCAAGTCAGTGGAGTATTTGATATCGAGTTTTTTTCTCCTCCCCCTGGCCGGGCGTCGGCCAGAGGTTTATATACTATTGTGCGAGGATTGGTTGCGCCTCGGTTCGGTGTGGTCACTGACCCTTGTGGGTTGAGACGGCTTTTCTGATGAGCTGGCGTCGTGGGGGATGCTTGAGCAGCGTCAGACGGCACTACCCCGAGCCCTCGGGATAGTCGTGTCGCATAGTGTCTAGGTATGGAACCTGGCTTGACATGCGTCACGGGGTTCTGATGGCGTGCGGCATTGGATTCTGATATTGGTGGGGACGTGGCGTGTGACGTCTGTGATGACTCATCTGGGGGCTAAAATATGCCTTATCATTTCTCTCCTCCCCTCCAAGGCGTGCTGTTGGGTCCCTAATGGGCCGGGAGGCATGCCTGGGGCTAAAGGACATGATTATGCTGGTTGCCCACGCGGGGAAGCCGGATTGACTCATCGGGGGGCAGTTTTAGAGGGGCGGTGCCTCGTGATTTGGATAGGACTAATCCTGTTGATCGAATGGTGGAGGCAAGATAAGGCGATACCTAAACGTCGAAATCGGCTAGACAAGACTCACGGAGCAAACCCGACATGTCTTAGTTCAGATGACGGGTTTCGCATGGCTTGAAGCTATGGCTGTCGAGTTTGCAAGTCGGCCAGCGAATCGAGGCGGCTCGATTCAAAGACTTGTCGGGGGGCGAATCGGAGTCGACGTGAAGTGACTTGGATAATGGGTTAGGCCGGTGATTCGGGCGCTGAATCGATCGAGATGTGACTCGGGCGTAAGATTGGCCGCGAGGTGTAGCTCGGGCGATGGATCGGGCCTATAGGCCGAGTGACCGAATCCGGTTATGGTTATGGTGCTAACGGGTCGCAAGTTGGGAGCGATCGGGAGCGACCCGGGCAGGAATTGAACTTGGGGGCTGAGTGATTAAGCTCGGTTCGGGTTTTGGTGCCGGCAGGTCACCAGTCAGGGGCAATTTGGAGCGACCGGGGCAGGAATCGAACCTGAGGGCAGAGTGATTAAGCTCGGTTCCAGTTTTGGTGCTGGCAGGTCACTAGTCGAGGGCGATCTAGAGCGACCCAGGTAGGAATCGAACCTAGGGGCCAAGTGCTTAAGCTCGGTTCTGGTTTCGGTACCGGCGGGTTGCTAGTCGGGCGCGACCTGGAGCGACCCGGGCAAGAATCGAACCTAGGGGTCGAGTGATTAAGCTCGGTTCCGGTTTGAACTTGGGGACTGAGTGAGTAAGCTCGGCTCCGAATCGAATCTGGGGACCGAGTGAGTGAGCTCGATCCCGAATTGAACCTGGGCACCGAGTGATTAAGCTCGGCTCCGAATTGAACCTGGGGGCGGAGCGTGTAAGCTCGGTTCCGATTTCAGTGCCGGCGGGTCGCCAATCAGGAGTGATTTGGAGCGACCCGGGCAGGAATCGAACTTGGGGGCCGAGTGATTAAGCTCGGTTTCGGTTTTGGTGCCAGCGGGTCACCAGTCGATGGCGACCTGGAGCTGTTAGGATCGGGGTCGACACTAAGAGGGGGGGGGGGGGTGAATTAGTGCAGCGGAAAGATTACGTCTCTCTTAAAACTTTGTTCGATAAAAACCATTTTCGATGAAAACCTTTTCATAAAGATTTTAACTTTGAAAGCGTACGGAAACGTATTTGATGTAAAGTAAGGAAGGCAGTTTGCAGTTAAGATAAATAGCAGAAAGGAAATGCAAACCAGATTTTAGAGTGATTCGGTCAACGTGACCTACATCCACGTTTGGCTTCCTCCTTCGACGAGGTCACCAGCGTCCACTAGAGGCCTTCCTTCAATAGGCGAAGGCCAATCACCTTTTATACCCCTCTTCTCCTTTTACCGGGTTTAGGAGATAACCCTTACAAGCACTCACACTCCTCTCTTACAGAAATCTAACACTTATAGTAGAGGAGGGAATTCTAAAGAGATTGCAGCAGCGTTTCTTTGCTTTTAGACACTTTGTGCTTGTGTTTTTTAACCAGGGATGAGAGGGGTATTTATAGGCTTCAAGTTAATTCAAACTTGGAGCCTAAAAACATCTCATCCCGGGTACGGGTGGTACCACCGCCTGCGCTAGGCGGTACGACCGCCCAGTGTCAATTTGGCTGACATTGTCCTGGGCGGTACCACCGCTCAAGTCTGGTGGTACCACCGCCTAGGAGGCTATGCTAGGCGATACCACTGCCCAGACTAGCGGTACCACCGCCTGGCACCCTGCCAAGGGTGGTACAACCGCCCAGACTGGTGGTACCACCGCCTGACACAGTCTCGAAGACTATGCCACGACGGTGAGACTCCTTGGGGCACTATTTGGGCTTATTATTGGGCCCAACACAGTTCTTACATGAGCCTAGCTGGACCCTAATTAGGTTGGCCCAAATCCAATCCCAATTATGTGCTAACTACGATTCCTAAGACATATTCTAAGCTAAACAAATCCCTATGTCAATTCTTCCGATGAGCTTCCGGCGAACCTCCGACGAACTCTCGGCAATGTTCCGATGAACTCCGGCAAGCTCCTAGACTTCACGACAATCTTCTTGGTGAGTTCCGACAAGCTTCTTTGGCAAGCTCTGCGACTTCTCGGTTGGTTCCCGCAGAACTTCCGACGAACGTCCAGAGTTCCGATGAACTCTCGAACTCCCAACGTGATCTCGATTTTGACTTCGGGACTTCATTTTGCTTCATGTCTTGCTATCGTAGTTAATCCTGCACATGTAAAACACACTTCGATCTAGACAATTAATCCTAAGCATCTAATCAAGTTGTCCGGCATGTCATTGGTCCCTCGACGCTTCGTTCGATTCTTCGGTGCATCGTCCTCTCTTGCGGCCTATTGCCCAATCGGCCAGTTGACTCCGTAACTCCGATATCCTTGGCGCAATATCCGCTCTTCTTGGTTCGATGCCCGAATCCACTACCCAAAGCCTTCTGTCAATATGTTGACCGATCCACCGGCCCGACGTTTAATCTTCTAACATGTTCCTCCGGCCCAATATGATTTTTCTTGCTTTAATTGTCTCATTCTGATCGAAGCATCCTGCGTCACTCAAAACGCAGATTAAAAACATAAATACATATTAATTGGTTTCATCATCAAAATACGAGATTCAACAATCTTCCCCTTTTTGATGATGACAACCCATCGACGACGGAGTTAACCTTAACTCCTGGAGTTTAAACAAACCCCACCTATCAATATGCCATATTGATAGATCCTTGAATTCAAGCCGAATTCAAGTCATTGCAAATATTCATCATGAATATTTGCAACACGTCATCATGCATAACATGATCATACTTCTCCCCCTTTCTCATCAACAAAAAGGAGAAGTTCCACTATCATGTGTTTGAAAGATATAAATTCAACTCATTGCATGAAAAACATAATATCCATTTTTATCATCATATAATTTGAAGCTAGAAAATTTAGCGAGTATAACATCATACTTAGAACATTCAAGCTATCAAGTTGTAGATATGCAAGGTAGTAAGATAGCATGTTCTACTTCATACAAGCTAGCAAATTTAAAGATGTTCAAGAAAGCAACACTTGCTTC